GTGACCCTTCTGTAAGGGGGTGTCCAGTTGTCTACAGATGGGCTTTGGGTCTCCACTCTGCACTCACCCTCATTTACAATGATATGATTTTTATTCTTTGATGCCTAATACCTGATCCCATCGACACCCTGTGGTCACACAGACTGGTGTGCTTCTTCCATGTGGGCTTTGCTGCTTCTGAGCTAGATGCTACCCATCATTTTCATTTGTTTGTTTTAACTTTAATTTTCATAATTTTTCTTTGGGAGTTGGGTGATGGTTCACAGAGCAGATGGCCAGTTTTACATTCAACAATTCATACACGTCTTGCTTCATCTTGTTGTTGTCAGGCACTGTCGTGTGGTTCCAACTCACAGGGACAGAACGAAACGTCGTCTGGTCCTGTGGCATGCTCACAATTGTTCTCATGTTTGAAACGATTGTTGTAGTCATTGTGTCAATCCTGCTTGTTGAAGGCCTTCTGCTTTTTGAGTAGCACCCCCCCACCCCCACCCCACCCCGACTTTACCAAGCAGGTTGTCATTTTTCCAGGGACTGATCTCTCCTGATAACGTGTCCAAAGAATGTGAGATGAAGTCTCACCGTCCTGCACGGATACATTCTGACTGTACTTCTTCATGAAACTGGTTTGTTCTTTTGGCAGTCCACGTTTCTTTCAATATTCTTAGCCAGCACCACAATTCACACACTTCTTTTTCAGTTTTTCTTATTCTATGTCCAACTTTCACGTGCATATAAGGTGAAAATAAAATACCATGGCTTGGGTCAGACACACCTTAGTGCTTAAAGTAACACCCTTGCTTTTCAACACTTTAAAGAGCTCTTGTGCAGTAGATTTACTCAATGCAATGACGTCATTTGATCTTTGATTGATGCTGCCATGAGGATTGATTGTGGATCCAAGCAAGATGAAATCCTCGACCACTTCAATCTTTTCTCCGTTTATCATGATGCTACCTCTCCATCCTGTTGTGAGGATTTTGGTTTTCTTGACATGGAGTTGCAATTTATACTGAAGACTATGAACCTTTTCATCACCAACGGCTTCAAGTCCTCCTCGCTTTCATCTTACTTATTGTTATTCCCACATGTACCATCACGTATCCCACTTCCCGTGTTTTCTGTTCCCATTCCTCCTGCTTCCTTAACTTTCTGGACGTTGTCCTGGGGTAAAGGCTGTCCTTTTGATTTCGAGTGGTGGGTTATTCGAAAGCATGTGTCCCTTCCTAGTGCTGTGGTTCTCCAGTTAGACCTAGCTGTGTTTGGATAAACATTGAGCAGTTCAGTTCCATGCCTCAAGGGTAAGGAGGGTCTCAGGAGTTCCACCAATCTCTATCAGACCAGAAAGCCCAGTCTCTTATGCCACACACCCCTCCCAAGCCCCTAGTGACGATCTTCTCATGCGATCCCTTTGAGAGTAGTTGGTAGTGCAGTGCTAACCATGCACCATGTAATTCTTCTGGTCGCAGAGTCAGCATCCCTTAATTTCTAAGATGGCAACTAGGAGCATTTTTTTTTGACATGGCGTTGTTTTCTTGTGAGGTGCGAGGGAGTCCGTTCTGACTCCTAGTCGTCCTCTGTGCAACAGAGCAAATCACTGCCCGGTCGTGCGCCAACCTCACAATTATTCTGGCATGGTCATTTCATTTCAAACCTAAGCTCCGGCAGAGCCCGTGATACATTTTCTATTTAGTTTAAAGAACAGAAAGATAAATGCTAGTCATCAGTCCTGGTTTTTCAAAAGTACAATGTTTATCACGACTGTTAAAGAGTTTGATGCGTTAACTGCTGAGTGGACACTGCGTGTATAAACACATCAGTCATCCAAGAGCGGTCAGGTTCAACCCTGTTGTAGAAATGGTACAGCCTTAGACACAGGTAGAATGGTTGTAGATTCCACAGCAGTTAGCAAGCGCCATGCCACTGAACTCATTGCCTTCCCAGGGACCAGAAAAAGAAGGACCGTGGGTGCCATTCAAAGAAGTGCTGAAATAAAGAGCCAGAAGGAGACACAGGGGGTCAGATAAACGCAATGCAATAATATTATATCAGGAAGGTGACCTAAGCTGCTGAAAAACCAAACCAAGATCACAAAAATCCATCAGCAATGACCAAATAAATAGGACCCAATAAAATTTATGTACTCATTTATGCCCACGTTAAAAATGTTATCATTTCAAGATATGACAAAATACCAATTTATAAACTATCAAGGGCTCATGAGGGAGGGGGGAGCGGGGAGGGAGGGGAAAATGAGGACCTAATGTCGGGGGTTTAAGTGGAGAGGAAATGTTTTGAGAATGATGTACAAATGCGCTTTACACAATTGATGTGTGTATGGATTGCGATAACAGTTGTATAAGCCCCTAATAAAATGTTTTTAAAAATGTTATCATTCATGCAAAAAGCCCCATACAATATATTCTGTCCTTTTGTTAAATCCTCATCAGAATCAGTTTAGGAATTTCTTTGTCGATATCACCGAGCAACGTTATTGCTTTGCAAAGGGATTTATAACTGAATTTCAAAAAGTGAAATTTGGCCACCCAAGGCCACTGTCCTGAACAAAACATCTCAGCCTCACTGAGTATCAATTGATTGGAGAAACATATTTCAGATTCTAGATGCTAAACTTAGACAAAGAGTCCGTTGGAGCTTTGAAGGCCTAAGTAAGCAAGAACGATTATTTTGTTCTTTTTTGAATAAACACAGATATGTAAGGGCAATTCTTAGCTAAACAAAAGCTAGCCATTTCTACTTTATTACTTTCCTCTAGATTATGCTGACAACATTCACTGAACTTCCACAAGGACACAGGAATCAAAATCGGCCAATAATTGAACCGGCTTCATTATTTCCACAGAACACCCCAAAGATACTTTGGGGAGGACTTTGGTTACCTCATTTGATGAGAACCTCCTCACACAGAGGGTAATGCGCATCAACTTGGCTTCGAAACCTGTTAAGCAGCTAGCCACCCAGCATCTACTGATACTGAGAACGCCCCACCTGCATAATCACCTCCACTTCTAGCTCCAGCTCTGATTTCTGCTCTGAACCCAGACTCTACTTGCCTCATAAGTCACTTCACAGGGTTGTCACCCAATTATCTCCAAGTCAGCATAGCCCAAATATACGATCCATCCTTACTTTCCCTCCGAGAAGTAGTCTTCTTCCTTTCTGTGATTCAATGGTCCCCCTCAGGACCACTTGACCAGGCCTGACAGTTATTTGTGATTCATTTCTCTCCCGCACCTCCCTCCTCTCTAGCTGAGTTAGTTAATTGTGCCAGCCTGGCCAATAATCACATGTGGGGCTAATTGAAAGGCGGAGGGATAAATGGGTGGTAAGCCTCGCCTTTCTAGTTCTCGGGTCTCTTGTTTTGTGATGGTTGCACCGGGTGCAGCTGCCTTAGCAGCTCCCTGCTTCAGCTTGCAAGATTGACTTTCTACAAGACATCCCCAAGGAGAAGCCGCATGGATCTATCCCGACGCAGCCCTGGGTGCTGGAGCAGCCATGTGGAGACCCCTGCCAGTGCTGAGATGCTTGTTCGTTCACTGACTCAGCTTTCCTCCTGCAGTCGGCATCATTGCCTCTGTTTTGTGAGGTGAAGGACTTTGTGGACTGGTGTTGGGTATGGGTTAATGTTGGACTTGTGGGCTTGGGCAGCATTGGGTTGGGATGTTTTCGTGATGCACATTTTCTTTACATAAAACTCTCTCTTATACGTGAGTTGCTGTGGATTTGTTTCTCCAAAGTACCAAGACTAATACACTAGCCAAGAACCAACCCTTTGGATTCTCCTTGTTCTGATGTATCTCCAGCCACAGAATCACTTAGTATCAGCCTTTATCACTTGGATCCTTACAGCGGTTATCTGATGGTACTATGGATTAGACTTTCCGCTGCTAACCAAAGGGTCGGTGGTTCACACCCACCAGCCACCCTTCGGGAGAATGATAAGGCCGATTGCTCCTGTAAAGATTTACAGCCTCAGAAATCTTGCTAAGAGTTAGGGGATTGACCCGATGGCAGTGTGTTTGGTTATTTAAGTGACTACCCAAAAATGACTTTTTGAACAAGCCTACCTGATCATGCCAGTATTCAGAATTCTACAGGTCAAACCCTAAATTCCTTAGCATTTATACGAGGCCTTCAAAAGCCGTGAGCTTCCAAATTCATCTCCCAGAATTCACTCCTCTCACTCATACAGCACCCCTGTTTACTTCGGCAATACCAATGGTCTAGTGTCTCAAACCTCCCCTTTTGTGTCTTTTGTGTGTCCTAAGACGAATTCTTGTAGATTTGTGATATCGTCTCTTCTTCTAATATCCCAAAATTTGGTAAACAAATTCACGTCTACACTGTCTGACCTTACCATCATTCTATCAGACCAAATGTTCTTCTTTCTTAATCTTCCTTTTTTAAAATTTTTTATGTCTGAAGACGCTTCTACCTTTGCGAAAATGTAGAACCATGGCTGAGTCTTTGTCTATACCCATCTGTGTTCTAATCACAACAAATACAGTTCTTATTAAACAAACCACCCTTCTTTGTCTCTTTCCTTGCCCTGCTACCTCTCAATACCCTACCAAGCCAGGGAGAACCTTTTAGTTGTCTACACTTGAGCTCATAACAGTGAAGATGCACCTAATAAGAGAGAAGAGCCCAAGTCTAGACCATCACAGACACTCATCTCCCTTCTCATACATTCTAGGCATCCACATGATTTCCCTCAGGATCTCTTTCGCTTTTCCCTGCAGAAGTTTCTGGATGGGTGGGGCACAGTATACGCTCACCTCTGAAAGAGCTCTTTGCAGCACACGTAGGTCTCATAGCTGCTATTGGTGAAACTTGTGTTTAGGAAGGAGACACAGTCAACGCCCACTCCCCTGGGGACATAGAGGATTCCTGGAAAAGGAGACAGAAACTGTAAGGGGGAGATTTTGCACTTACTCCTTCAGGTTCTTAATTTTGTTCTTTGTGTGTGAATGAAGCGCACTGTAGCTTAGGTGGCTTTTCTTTGCATCTGTGGGATGGATGGTTAAATCAATATCCCGTCATGATCTAGAGAAGCGATTTCTGCCGGGAGCAAGGCTGAGGCACCTACCTGCCATACAGGCACTGATAAGGGAGACGGAGGCCCCCGTGAGGAGGGCACTGAGCACAATCTTGGACAAGTCACTCTTCCGGTGGGGCACCATTGATGCTGCAGATGACAGAAAATTTTTTTTTTTTTTTAGATTTCTGATCCAGCCAGCCATCGGGTATCTCTCCCATAATGCCCGTTTAGAAGAATGTAAAGGAATAAAACCTAGCACGTGAATAACATCCTTACTACCAACCCTCAGAGACCTGCCAGTGAGGCAACCTAAGGACTGCATCCTTTAGTTCTGAGGACTACCTCAGACCTTCCCCAGGCCAACGACTGAGTTTCTAACCCTAAGGAGTTCTCTGAATACTCTCAAGCTGCATCTGGATCAAGCAAAGCTCGGAGTTTCTCTGGCCAGGTGTGAATGCCTGGAAGCTGCCAGCAATGGAGACACCGATGCCATGGGCTTGTTAATATCTGCATTCTTAAGTCTGGACCAGAATTAGGTGAACTATTTTGTATCAGACGAGTAAAGAGGACAATAGTCGCTTAACCCTTAACCACATAATGCATATCTCACTTCCAAATGTTAGTCGCACAATTAGACATCAATTGGGCAATCATACAGAAAAGTGTTTAGATTCTTTGTTTAATCAGCTACCAGATGTGGCAATAGACTATCATAAGAAGTGGGCCACTCAGCTGGATCTGTTTTATACTCCAATCCTCTAAGATCCAGTTCTAACTTCCACACCCTTAGAACCTGCTAGTCATTTCCCTCTGCCAATGCCCTCCAGGTCAATCCCATCTTCCTCATACTGTTTTCTCAAACCATCACCCACATTCAAAAATATCTTCAGCGACGTAGATATGTCTCTATCTGCTTAAAATACTCACTCCTCCCACCCCTAGTGGTTTGCAGCTTTTAGTCCAACACGCTGCACCATTCGCCTTGACTTTCCATCTGCCATACGAGTCTGCTAATTCTGTCTTTGGTTCCCTTGGGCAGCTCCTGCTTCTGGGAAGACAGCTAGAGTCTACCTGAATTTCAGAACCTCTCTCCCTACTGAACCGAAACAACAGCAGCAGATCTTTCCTTACAATGCAACAGTAAAATCAGCGTGGCGTTCCTACAAGACGTTCTCCCATAGACCAATCAAACCAAGCCAAACCACCCCACTGCTGTTGATTCTGACTCACGCTACCCTATAAGAGGCCAGAACTGCTCCGTAGGGCTTCTGACACTAAATCTTTATGGGAGAAGATAGTCCCCTCTGTCTCCCATGAAGAAGTTGGTGGGGTTGACTCATGACCTTGTGCTTAATCCACTATGCCACCAGGCTCCTTTTCTCTCAGACAAGGAAAAGAACAATAAAATCAGTCCACCAGGCTTCCGATCCACAGGAGAAAAAGTAGCTGTAATTCAGAAGGTAAACCCAATGTGGGCCCCACCCATAGCAAAAGAGGATGATTCTCTTGGCTCCTAATTAACTACAGTCTCAGAGGGTCCATTTCACATCAGTTTCTTTATTGGGTCTCAACTTATACTGAACACCAGGACTGTCCACTGGAGAAGCTGGGACCTGCTGGGCTTATGGGGGAGCTGGGAAAAATGAATGAACTCACTCAAGCCTCCCAGTGTGATTCCCATGGAACTAAGGTTGGAAAATCCACAGAGTGAAAATGTTGTAATGACTTCAGCTCTCTCCTAGGGAAAGGGTAAACAAAGAAAGAAATAAAGGCAGTCATGCTTGTGCAGTATTATAATCATGACTGAACTATCATAGTTTGTGGTGGCCCCACTCTTTTCTATACTCAGGAATGGAGACGGAATGCTCAGAAAATTGTTCTCCACGAGTTCTTGCAGGGATAATGATACGGAAGCCACCAGGGGCCTCTTGGACGCTGTTCTTGTTGAGGCATAAGAACAAGGCAAAGGCCTGAAAATGAGGATGATTGAGCAGGATGAACTAGACAGACCGAGGGAAAGAAAGTGAGAGCAGATTAAACTTATACATGAAGAAAAAAACAAAACAAAATAAAACCCCATGTGCTGTCGGATCAATCTGCCTCATGGTGAGCCCATGCACTGCCAGTAGAGCTGCTCCCTCGGGCTTTCCAAGTTGTAGCCTTTCCCATCAGGTGCCTCTAAGGAAAGTCACACCGCCAATACTTCAGTGAGCAGGGGAGCCCTTAGCTGCTTCTGCCCCCAGGACTTCAGAATTAAAGAAAGGTGTCTTAAACTCTCCAAACATCAGTGCCCTGCTCCGATGGTCAAGACCTAATAATACTGTTATAGAGAGATGTCTGGTCAGAGGGTTGGGAGAACACTGCCTAGGTTCAATACTGGAGACAGAAACGGGTCTATGCCTGCTTCTTTGCTCATTTTGTGGTTAGGTCTTGGGCACTGGAAAGGAATCGGTGGGTCTGCAGCAAACTTTTGTGTAGAACTTTTTGACTGCCTGCACACAGCTACCATGGTGACCTCACCCGATGTATGGGTTTCTGGATGAACACTTACTGAGATCCACTGTTTCTCACCCCCAATCCACTCTTCCACTCCGGAGAGACGCTTTTGCATGTACTGAGACAATTGTTGATAGGCCACAAATTCATTGATAAAGAACTTGATCCCCACCATCTCAGCCACTAAGGGGCAGTCTGCCCACTCTACACCCATCATGAAGACCATGGGCCTTAGAATATAGGAGCAGATGACCTAAGGGAAAGAGATTGCAGGGGGAAAAGAACAAACAATAGTCAGGAGTCAAGGACTTTCCTGAACCTTCACTTAGTCTATGCCACCCGTCTCCAATCGATGCTTTCTCTTAACTTCCTATGGGTCAGAATGACAGGCACAGGACCAAGTACCTACACCCCAGGGGAACATCCCAACCAATGTGAGCCTTTACCTGGAAACTGAGACCCTGGATATCCACCAATTCCCCCAGCCAGGCGAGGACAGCATTGATGAAAGCCAACACAGCCAAAAATGCGATCAGGTTGGCGGCTACGTTAGCAACAAGGCCTATGGCATCTGTGGCTCCATTGCTGGCAGCTTCCAGGATATTGTTCTCCTTCCTGTGGTCATTGGGCGTGAGAAGACGACGATGGTGTCTAGAGTAGTCTTAGACCTCTGAGAAGAGAAACCCCACTCTCTAATAGGAGAAGGGTGTAAGGCCATCGAGTGGTGATGGAGTCTCTTTTCAAACCCACTGCCATCGAGTTGATTTGGACCTATCGAGAACCTCGGAAGGGTTTCTAAGGCTACGCATCTTTACAGAAGCAAATAACCTCATCTTTCTCCAGCAAAGCAGCTGGGGGGCTTTAATCGCCGACCATGTGGTTAGAAATCCAGTGCTCACCTGACAGCACAGCCAGGGCTCCTCAGTACTACCATTAACGGATGCTACTTTGAAGCACAGTAAATAGAACTGTCATGGAATTGTACTGAGACCAAGCACAGAGGGGGCTGGCAGGCGACGACTAGCAGTGGGCGCTGGGGTTAAAAGCACACACTGGAGCTTTCCTTGCATTCCTGTCTTTTTGAGGATCTTACCCAGGAATGGGTGTTGGATGTTGCTGAATGCTTTTTCTGCATCTATCGAGATTATCACGTGGTTCTTATTCTTTTTCCTGTCAATGTGGCAAATAAGGCTGATGGTCTTTCAGATGGTCAACCATCCCTGCATCCCTGGAATGAATCCCATCTAGTCATGGTGAATGAATCGTTATATATACTTTTGTATTCTATTGGCCAGCATTTAGTTAAGGATTTTTGCACTGATGTTCATTAGAGATATTGGTGTGTACTTCTCAATTCTAGTGAGATCCTTGCCCACTTTAGGTATCAGTGTTATACTAGCTTCGTTGAACGCGTTCGGGAGGTTGCCATCTTTTTCTATGCTCTGGAAGAGTTTGTGTAGGACTGGTGTCAGTGCTTCCCTGAAGAACAGAAGGACAAGGACAACATGAGTCCACTGAGGTAAGCTTCAAAAGCACAAAGGGCATAGAGGAAAAGCCATTGAATGCATAAATTTCTGGGGCGAGGCTCAGGCACTCTGTTAGGGGTCAGACTCCATCCAGGGATGCATATGGCAGCCAACCAAAAAGGAAGAGTGACAAAAGAGGACATGGATAGTGGGGGAAGAGGGCACTAGCCCACCCATGGTGAGGGTATTGTTTATGTCTCCACAGGAAAGGGAGAGAGAGACCAGACCAACACACCAGCACAAAGCAGCGAACTAACAGAGAGGTTTGCAGGGCCGGCCCCAATCCCAGCTATGTAGACCCCCTTCCCAAGAAGATTGCCCCATAGAAGACAGCATTGCAGATACAGCCTGGGGAGAGTGCCGAGTCTACCCAGACAACATGGGAGCAAACTAAGAGGGAGAGAGAGAGAGAGAGAGAGAGAGAGAGAGAGAGAGAGAGCGAGCCTGGCTCACCAAGCTCTGAGGATGACACTCCTGCTCAGAGCAGGCAAGGCACAGAGAGGACTGTAGGGTGGGCACAGAGAGGACTGTAGGGTGGGCCCCACCCCACCCCCCTCAAGACATGATATACCCTCAGATGTATCCTCACAGACCCACAAGGCTGCAAGGGAGAGCACTGGAGACACAATGGGAGAATTGTGCCCAGTCTGACACTTCCCACCCCACCCCACTGGGGCAAAACACAAAGGGAGTGCAACAGAGCAGCCAGGGGAGCAAAGCAATGAAGTCCCCGAGGAATCCTGAAAACAGACTTCAGACTCAGAGGACAGGGCTTGGAACCTCCTCAGACTCGATCGGAAAACATACATAAGGGTCAGCAGACAGACCTAGAACAATTTATAGGTCCTTTGTTTCCTCTCTCATCCCCCCCCCCCCGTGTATCTATATAAGATAGGCAAGATAAACAATCCCAAGGAGAAAACAATGGGACTGAGGATTCCAGGGGGACAAGGAAGAGGGGGAGATGGGGGGCTGGGAAGGGGGACCCAACAAACCCAGGGACAAAGGAAGAACAAGAGTTTGAAAATTGATGGTGAGGAGGGTGTAGAAGGCCTCATGGGGTTTTACCAAGTGCAATGTATCTGAGAGGAATTACTGAGAGTTGAATGAAGGTCGAAGATGATAGTGGGATAGGAGGAAAGTAAAAGGAAATAGAAGAAAGAACCAGGAAGCAAAAGACATTTATAGAGGGATAAACATAGGCATATACAAATGTAAATATATAATGAGAAGGATATAGGTCTATGTACATATATTTATATGTTAAGTGTCAAGGTAGCAGACAGACATTGGATCTCTACTCAAGACCTTCCTCAAATCAATGCAAGAACACTTTGTTCTAATCACCTGGCATTCTGTGATGCTCACCTTCCCAACAGGATTGCTGAAGTCAAAATGGGTGCATAAGCAAATGTGGTGAAAAAAGCTGATGGTGCCCAACTCTTACAAGATAGAACACCTGGGGTCTTAAAGGCTTAATGTTAAACAAGCAGCCATCTAGCTGAGAAGCAACAAAGCCCACATGGGAGAAACATACCAGCCTGTGTGATCATGAAGTGTTGACAAGATCAGGTATCAGGCATTAGAAAACCCCAAATAAACAATCATATAGATGTGAATGATGGGGGTTGGAGTGGAGACTCATAGCCCATCTGTAGACAATTCGACATCCCCTCATAGAAGGGTCACAAGGAAGGGACAAGCCAGCCAGGATGCAATATAGTACTGACGAAACACACAGCATTCCTCTAGTTCTTTAATGCTTTCTCCCCTCCCCCACCCCCTCCTACCATCATGGCCCCAGTTCTACCTCACAAATCCAGCTAGACCGAGCATGTACACTGGTGCAGATTAGAGCTCTCAGCACATGGAATCGAGGACAGATAAACCCTTCAGGAAACATAATTGGAGTAGTGATACAATGAGGGCAAGAGGAAGGTGAGGGGAGAAGCGGGAGAAAGGGGAAACCGATAGCAATGATCCTCCCCACCAACCCCAGGCCAGTGGGTTGAAAACAGAAATGTGGATAAAGGGAGACATGGGTAAAGGATGGTGTAAGATATGAAAACAATAATAATTTATAATCCATCAAGGGTTCATGAGGGTGGGAGGGGGGGAAGGGAGGGAAACATGAGGAGCTGATGCCAAGGGCTCAAGTGGTAAGAAAATGTTTGAAAAGGATGATGGCAGCATATGTCCAAATGTGCTTGGTACAATTAATGTATGGATTGTTATAAGAGTTGCAAGAGTCCCCCATAAAATTATTTATAAAACATGCAAAGAAATCAGTGTGATTCACTACTGGCAGAGATAAGCAAGAGGGCAGGTGGAATCACAGTATTCCCCCGTCAGGAATTCTGGGAGAAAGATGAGGCTTTCTGCTCTCATAAGGAGTTACAGTCTTGGAAACCCACAGGGGAAGTTCTACCCTGTCCTATAGAATCGCCATGAGCTGTGATTGACTGGACAGCCGTGACTTTTGAGTGAGGGAGACTTCAAATCTCTGCTACCACAGCACCACTTGGCCTTGCACCAGACCCAGCCACTGTTTACCTTATTTACCTTATTAGACTCACCCACGAGGCAGTTTTATCCCTTCCTTACTCTTGAACTTTGATTCTTCCACTTCTGGATAGACTAGTTTTGACAACGCAAGAGCACAAGGGGCTGCCATCACAGAGGCAGAAATCAAGGATGCTGGGCTGATCTGTAAGGCCAGACATGGGGGGGGGGGTCAGTGTCTCTACAGATGCCAGATCTTGACTCACTCACAAGTGACCAAGCCCACTATACTTACCCCAAAGGATATGAAGGCTCCCAGCACAGTGCCTGAAATGGTGGCAAACCCCCCAGTCATCACCGCATGGATTTCAGAGAGTGTCATGTCTGCAAGGTATGGACGGATGAGCAGGGGTGCCTCTGTCTATAAACAAGGAGAAGCCACTCAGATCCCAAGGTGGTATGCCTTCCACACACTGCTCCTGCGTGAGCTGTTCTGTAGGGAGAATGTAGCCCCGCCTAGTGAGCACGAGGCTCTGCTCTCAGCCCCTCCCAGCCCCTGCTGAACTCCCTCTGGCACCTCATCATATTCTGACTGCCATGATTCTCCCTTGTTTTTATAGCTGTTTGTTGTATCCACTTGACTTTTGAAATACTGTATGAGAGTTCTTTATTCATCTAGAGCAAAAGAGCAAAAAGTAATCCAAAATTCAGAGGGGAAATTGGTCTACATGAACCCTGTCCTCCTGTCCCCTCAAACCAGAAGAATTAGATGGTGCCCGGCTACCATTACCTGTGTTCTGATAAAGACCACGCTAGATGGACCCTGATAGAAAGGGAAAAAATGTAGAACAGAATTTCATATTCTCAACAACTATAGATGTACAGGCACACTGAGATAGGACAGATGCCTGAGAATTACTGCCCTGAGATATTCTTTAAGTCTTGCGTGAAAACTCTCCCTTCAAGTTACCTTTTAGGTAAATCATAGGACCGGTCATAAGTACTAAACATCGGGCTCATAAAAAATAATCTCTATGAGATTAAATGTTCACCAAATATTCTAAAGCATAGGTGAGAACGTTGTGAGGATATCAGATGAGGTTAATAGGAACAAAACAACTAGAATGGGGATAATATATGGATTCCAGTTAGGTGCGCTAACCCAACTTTTGATGAGGAAATCAAAAGAAATAATGTTGGTGAAAATGTTATAAAATTCTAAAGGACTAATTATGCAAACTATGGTATTGACTTAAGATCATGTTATGCACCATTTGACAAGCGCCAGCTATTTGCCTAGTGCTGAACTAGATGGTAAGGACATTAATATGAATAAGGTAACATTCTTATTCTCAGGAGCTTAAAATCTAGAAGACAAGTCGATTGTGGATAATTTCAGCACAATGTGAAGGTGAGATGAATACTAAGGTAAAAGTGTCCAGAAGAACTCAGGACATTTCAGAAGCAGGTTCTGGGCCGTGGAAGAAAAAGACCAAAACACGAACTCCTTGTCAATTTGACAAGCTATGCTTCTTAACATTGAGCCGATTATCAATGGCATCTATTGAACCCAATTGACTGGTATAGACAAATATACCAATCAAGTTTTCCATAGAAGAGCCCTATGTAGACAAGTTGCTACCTCCTTAGCATCCGTGGAAAACCAAAAACCCGGGGAGTCATAGGGAGAAACCAAAGTATAGATCAACCACACTTCCTCATCCCTGAATTCCTGTGTAAGAAGTTGGGTCTGTGGTTAAGGATGTCCGGATTAAGGATGTCCAGCTATGTGTTACCAGGCAAGGACATGAACACAATGTGCTGAGTTCCCTATGAGATTCCCAGTCTTTTCCTCCCACCATCCCTTGGCTACCCATGGCCTTCATTTATTTGGCTTTTCAGAAGGAAAGGATACTTCTCAAAGGATATTTTCCTCAAAATATTCTCAAAGGATATTTTCTGAAGCTCTCGGTTCCACAGAGAAGAGAAAACCAGAAGGCCTCTGGGTACTTACCATCCCCACAAAGATGTTTCCTGCCACAGCCAAGGTCTCCGTGGCCGTGGTGCCCATGGTGACTTGCAAACACCAGGCGATCTAAAGGGACACAGAGACCTAAGCCATCAGCCTTAGCAGGAATCTTAGAAAGTGTCCCCCAACCCCCCCTTCCTCTCAATTCTACTGTTCAGAAAATTGAGACCTGGAGAAGTACAGTGACAAGCCCTAGACCACAAAGCGGGTTACAAACAGAGCCTCGACCAGAACTCAGAACTCTTGGCTTTTTAGAGCAAATAAACTAAAATTCAGTCTGAAAAGATAGTCTGGCCCAGTTTTTCTTTTCTTGATCTACCTCTTGGCCTATTTAAGGCACGGGCCTGATCATTAGCTATCAAATATGCGTGAAAGAAATTTCACATTGGTTCTCATTGTCTCCAGATCCTATAGATAGTTATTTTACCAGAGAAATTATCATGTTTGTCCTTCTTGACAGATCACAAGATGACCTATCTCCAGTGGTTATATAATTTAACGGCTGGGTCTTTGCCTTAATAACTGTTTTAAGTATTAATATATATATGCATATATATATAAAAAAGTAGTTTATTACTTCAATGTGATATCTGAACACTGCTATTGTGCAAATGAATATTAAAAATTAGTAAGGAACGTAAAATTGTGATTTCTGTATGGGGCAGTTGTCCAGCCACCCCCACCCCCTTAGAGAGAATCTTGATTACAAGGGTCATTTTAGCAACTGGTTTGTCGTACTCAACCAGAAATGAGGTATTGGTTCTGCCAAACTGGGGCTGACCGGCTGAATCTTACCACTGCCCATCGCCTGACTGGGATAGGCATTCGAATGACTCACCTTCTGAATCACCCACTGTACGAGGCCCAGATAGTACAGTATGGACATGACGCAGCCAAAGAAAATGATAATTGGCAAGGCCTGTAGGAAAAATTATGCAACAGCTGGTAAGACATGACATTGCCCATGCTCATGTGAACTTAAATGGACCGTAGGGGTCAGGCCTCCAAATGAAGTTCTCAGCACCCCAAAATCATCCAAACAGGCAATTTTGAGGGGATATTTAAATACAAGCTAGGAATACATTTAAAATATATAGGAAATCTATTATTTTATCAATGCTAGGCCACAACGATATCTTTTCTAATCTTTCCTGGCCCGTGTTTCATCAAATTTCAGAAGAGTAATGATCAAAAGGCCAGAGACTCATGATGTTTTCTTGGTCGATGGCATGAAATCTTCCCCTCTGGTCAACTTAATATACGAGATGCTGGTCTCTCAAACATGTTCATTCTGTGTTTTACTTGCCCTCACCCCCACCCCCACCCCCCTCATTCATAAAATGGGTACAACCTGAAAAGCAAAGACATCCTTGACCAATATTTCCCCAAAGACAAAGCTGGATCCAGCCACAGTGTAGCTCAGGAATATCTGAAGGAGAGAAAGAACAAGAGTGAAGCCAGGAAGGACGCAGGAGAAAACAGGAACAGCCTCATTCCTAATAGACACCACTCCTGCTACTGAGGCCGGCCTCCTTCGTCACTATGGCGACAGACTGTGTTCCCGTGAACCGATCACTGAACAACAGGAGGATTTAACAGCTCAGTTCTCGGCGCTCGTAGTCATAGTTATACCTCAGCATACGCTCTCCTTTCCCGCCAGATCTCCTACCACCATCATTAATAAGACAGCTTCATTTTCTAATGCCTCCCACCAACTCCTTTCCCCAGGGTCCTAAAAGAGCAGAGCTCTCACATTCGATTTCTCATACCTGAACCTGTTCTCCCAGCCACTGGAATGCAATAAATCCAGGATCAGTTCTGATGACCAAGATCCCAAATACAAATTGAAGACCCAGGCCCCAAAACACTGCCCTCCAGGACACCTGGGATCAAGAAGAAAGTGAATCCAAGGTTAGTGCTAAACCCTACTTAGCTATTACTTGGTTGTAGTTTAAAGTACGGGTACTTCATGATCTATATATGTGTACTCTGGTTACAACCAATGTAAGATGCTAGCAGCAAATATGGGGTAAAATGCAGTAATGAGCAGGGAGCATAATAAAGGGACATAGGGTAGCAATATATAGTCAAATATGTTCATATGCTTTTTAACAATCTGTCTAGAGGTTGGATGACATACAAACATGCATACAAAGATAAAGGTTTGCTAAACAAATACTTTATGATGTACAATGCTGGAATAAGGGTGAGGCTTTCTCCTCCCATAAAGAGATTTAGACTCAGAAACCCACAGGGGCAGCGAGTTCTAACTTGTCCAATCAGGTCACTATGACTTGTATTCAACTTGATGGCAGTGAGTGAGATATACAATATTAACTGATTTCTCTATCACATTCTACTTTATTTTTTTGTTTTAGTTTTTCTTTACTGTTAGCTTAGACCCATAAAGTTGTTATGAAGACTCATGAATGGATCACAATCTAATGTTTGAAAATAATTGATTGAGAGCCTCCGGGATGTCTGTATCTCTTCTTAAAAGCAACATTCTTAAAGGAGGCAAATACTAGAGGCTGTTAAGAACTGAGTTCTATGTCTTTGACTTATGGGTTAAACTGTGTCCCATAAACAGTGGCGTATGAATCCTGTGAACATGACCCCGATTGGAAATTGGGCTTTTCTTTGGCGATATTAATGAGAATAGAATGGGGCCTAAATAGAATCCCTTTTGAGTAGCATCTTACTCAAAGGGCAGAATAGATATGTAGAAACACTGAAGGGGTAGAGACTGTGAAGATCCACGCATAGATCAAGAAACACCAAGGAATGTCCAGGCTACCAACAAGGAAGAAATTCCTCTAGAGTTGCTATCCTGAAATTTGTGAATCTCCCAAACCGTGAGGGCAGAAAATCCCTGTTCTCTAGAATCACCAAGTGTGTGGTGTTTTGCTATGGCAACCCTAGAAAATGATGACACTTTGTCGTTCGTGCTTGCCCCGTGTACTTTTGGATTAGTCCTTGGCCCTCGGCTATGTGTAACTACGCCCAACCTGCACACCCCAAACTCACTGCGCCGTGGTGCTTGGAGCAGGCAAAGAGGATGATGATGAACATGCAGATCCCTCCGAAAGAGATCAGCTGCTCTGGCTTTCGAGCTGTGTCGAGAGCCAGCCACAGGATCAGGCCAATCAAGGCAAGTCCTCCGAACGCCCTGGAGTGGGAATGCCACAACCCATGTCATTGAATCCACGAACACAGGACGAAAAACTAACTTTACCTTAAAACAAATAGATCACTAAAACATTCAGTAGTTTATTGTAGCTTAGAAATGGAACGGTATCTCCCTAACTACCCCCTCTCTCCCCTTAGCTTTTATAATTTACAGAACCAAGTTGAAAGATTTCAATCCGAGGACACAAATGACATGATCTTCTGATCCTCTGATTTCTATATCAGTAATAAGTGATCTAAAGACCTATTCTTTATGACTATTGCAATGAGAAAATAAAAGATTAAAAGAAGAAAAGTGAATATTAGTCTCCCCACTTCATGAATCTCTTCCATCTCATTTTTCAACCACATGTCCCAGGCTGAGTAAAACCCAAAGTGCCAATCCAGTACTGGTACCCATCCATCTCCGTGGCCTTGACTGCTTGTGTACCTTTACTGTACCAAACAGACTTGATCCCTACAGACTGGCTTCCTTATGTCTAACTGTTTGGGTCCTTTAAGTTGAAGGGAGAAGAATGAGAAGAGACATCGCATAGGAAAGCAAGACAAAACCAAAAAGCATGCTGTCCACTGAGATGCCTAAGGATTAAGAACAACAGCCAAGGGTATTCCAGGTCAGTGTCGCACTTCGGAGCTGTTTTCCCTGGAATTTATCTCCTTCAAAGTGAATCAAAACCACTTTCTAAGATCCGGATTGTTAAGGAATAAAAGCCTTTCAGCTCTACTATCCCCCAACCTCAGAGGAATGAATGATCCCACATTTAGGGGATCGTTCCAGTTTGCTGAGGTTGACTATACCCTTCATACCAATTTCTAGGCCATCCATTGGAGGCTGGCAGAAAAAAAGACACTTTATAGAAAAGCTGATCGTTATTCTCTTACCCCTGGCCTGTGATTAAAGGCCTGTGACCGCAGCTTATCTAAGCATGCGCATCCACACTTAGGGAGATAAGCTGTGGCTGCTGTGGGATCCAGTTCAATATACACCGAACGGGAAGTTGGACCCTTACATTCTAAGAAATTGAAAACGATACCAGTGGGTGCGGAAGACTAGAGAAAAAAAGAAAACAGCATAAGAGCTATCAGGGAACCAAGGAAGACACGTAGCCATCAAATCGATTTGCGAGCTGAGACGGCTGTAAGCTTCTTTGTTCCGGGTTACTTCACTAAAGAGGAATATGGCATTTCTCATTTCTGACGAAGGCCCGGATGATAGACTAACTGATAATCTTCTCTGAAACTTAAACAGCACTCCCCCATTTAAAAAAAAAGGACTGAAGGTTAGCACTCAGAGGCCCATGGACCTTTGCTCTGTGTCTTTTTTTCTGGAGTCGTGGGTGGGGCAAATGTCTAATGCCCTTGGCTGCTAACTGAGGCATGGGTGGTGTTAGTCGAAGGAGAGTTACCTCATTAGACAATCCTGGCAATCTATTTCCACAAACATGAGCCCTGTGGAGTACAGTTGTAAAATGACCCGCATGATTCAAAGTCATCTCCAGGGCAATTGGTCATGCAGGAGCCGACAGTTCTGAACAGCAAGGGTGAGGGCCAAAGGCATGAGTGAAGGTCTAAGAGACACCTCAGGAACGACGGAGAGAGAAAACGGGTAGTAGAGTGGGTTTGGGGACAAAGTATGGGGTCAGGGATATTGACATTCCTGTCTTACCATTTTGCCCAAAACTTCAGGCGGGAGTTTTCAAAGGGCTTCAGACATTTTGTTAACTTGTTACCCAACAGCCTCTTCAGGAAGCGGTGAGCCAGGATAATCAGCACCAAGCAGGTGAGCACGAACAAGGCCAGTGCCCTCTGAAAATCCAAAATGCAAGCGGCCAAGAAGTAGGCAGCATATGCTAGAAAGAGATGGTGCAGGGTAATGATCATTAAGGTGGAACAAGGAAGCTCCAGACAGGAGCGAGGAGAACAGCCAACCCCACGAGCCACAGTTTTCAAGGCCGCGATAGATGTCTAACCATCTTCTTACTGAGCTTGCCCAAGGAGGTGCTCACTTACTTTGGTGATCACCTACTTTCACGAGTCCCTGAGGACATCTCACCTCCTTAGACTTCACTTGATGTCCTTCTGCTCCTTGGAGTAGATTTGATCCATCATAAGTGCATGCGAAAGTCAGTCACCCTTCCTCCAAAGTTTCTACCCCACCATTTTAATCTTTCCTCTTAAACAACGTCATGTGGTTAAACAAAAAAAAAAATCAACATTACCACTAAAGAATTAAAATCAGATATGTGGTCCTAACTATGGCTCCATGACTCCTCACAAAAATACTTTGAAAGAATGGGATAGGACATTTGGGGGGGCGGGAGGGGGTAGATAGGAAATCATAGAGGAAGGGAGGAAGGATGGGGGGAAAGAAAAAGAAAGAGAACCACATTCATTAGGGCTTAATGGGATATTATTACTGATTTCATTTGTTGAAATGAGCTGGGTAACTATATACAATGTGCTTCTTTAAAAACCAAAATGAATGTTAACACCGCCCCCCCCAATAATGAGAATGAAGTTTCACAGTCTGAAGATGCATGCATACATCCATACATGCATAAAACTCTCCCGATTCCTTACCCCTTGAAGCTAAATATTGACCTTAGTGGCTAAATAAAAAGGAGGAATAGGAAAATGGAAACCGATTTTGAGTCTTCAATGACATATAAGTTCATTTCAAACATAGGTTAAAAAAAAACCCAAACCCCCAAACATTGTGTTCTCACCATCCCGGTTTCTGCTATTGACATTGAGGTCCCGATCTCACTAATAGCACATTTTAAAAACCTTTTACTGCTTTTTACTAATAGTTTATATCATTAATCTTACCAGGAGGCCAGCAAATAAGAACGTGACACTGGCTTCTCCTGTAATGACACTAAAAAGAGATAAACCTACATTCTCTGAAACACTGAAGACAATCAAATTGTAGAGCTTTGAGGAAATAGTTTATTTTCCGATGTTACTTATCCCTGCAAGTGTAACTCAATAAAATATGTCTCATGTTCCAGTAACTAAGATCAAATAGCCCTTTGGTCAGTTTGTGAAGAAAATAGTTTTCCACGTGGTAACCATTTCGACCAGAGAGGCTAGTTCTCACACCATTGCCTTTCTGACCTCCCTGCATGCTCAATATCTCACCTACACACAGCACGCTCAGCAGGATTCTCTTGAACAAGCCGGCATGAGTGTGGCAGAACAGGGTCAACTTGACGAAAGGCTGTCGGTTCTTCCTGAGGAGAAGCCAAAAGTTGAGATACCAAAATTACTCCAAGCCATGAGTATCAATTCCCAGGGCTTGGTCCAGGCAGAATTTGCTCTTAGTCAACAAGAACATTATTCAGCTAGGGGGCAGTTCGGTGGTGTTTGGCAAGGCCACAAAGACCAGACCCAACGTGGCCAGTGGACAACAGGTCTAAACAACCCTGCCCAGCCTGCACTCCATGGCAATTTTCCACCTCAGAAGTGGACACGGGTCACATTGAGAAGAGACTCCTGAAACTTCTTGCTTCCCCTGGACCCTGGACTGTTTCCATATTCCTCTGGGCCGTCCTCTGTCTCCATATTCATAAAGGAGTCCATTGTTCTGAGAGACAACTTTGGGCATTCTTCCCCAAGGAGTACACAAAACCATGCCTTCAGGCAGGACCCCAGCACCCTCAGGAGTCCCTGGGTGGGCAGGCCGGAGGGAAGGTGTCCAGGAAGCAGCCCGGTGCAAACACCCGACACAGCGGTTTCCGTGTTGGAGGCAGTCCTGGGGGCATATGGCGAAGCAGCTGACTGCTAACAGAAAGTTTGGTGGCTTGAACTTGCACGGAGACCCCTGGGACGAAAGGTTACAGCCTGGAGACCCCGATGGAGCAGGTCCACACTGCCCACCTGGACGGGGGTCGCCACGGGCCACAATCCACTCCGTGTGGACCACCGACCACCACCTACTCACGTTACCAACCCTGGCCATGGGCTCCTCCTAAGAATCCAGGGGACAGAAAGGGAAACCGACAGGATTGTTTTGCTTTGTTTTGTGTTGTATTTTTTTAATCTAGCATTTTATTTGGAAACACTTCCAAAATGCACAAACACTGTAACAGGAAAAAAAAAACCATACTGAGGAATTTTCTTCCCTCTAACTACATTGATTAATTATTAACAACTAGACAAAATGTTCATACTTAGTTAATATTCTGCAGCCGTCTGAAGAGCTTAGTTTATCATGAAATTGTGCTTCCCTTTTCAACCCCAAATGACTACCTCTAACTTCTATGGTGTTCAAAGTGACCATCCCTACATTTTATCCCTCATGTCCTCAGATCCAACCACCTCCGCGGTCTGTTTAGGAGGACTATTTCATCCACCACAAGACATAAAGCATGAGCTTCTTTCTTAAAGGATTGAGTGACACCTGCAATAAGTTCTGACTTGTTGGAGGAATTACAACGAACACACTTCTTTTGACACCCATTAAAATTGCATGCTTGGAATGAAAAAAAAAGTTAATCTAGAGGAAAGGAGGGGGTATAGTTTTCTGTAGTTTACCTTTCCAGTATACCTCCAGATCTCAAACTTTTCCAAATAAAAAGAGAAAAAAATGTCCTGCTTCAAAGTTACATATGAGGAATGAGAACAAAGAAGGCCTTCCAGGAGGTGGATTGGCACCTGGTGGTGGCTGCAACAATGGGTGCAAGCATAACCATGGGGAGGACGATGCAGGGCCAGGCCGTGCTTCCTTCTGTGGGCACAGGGCTGCTGGCATCAGAACCAACTTCCTGTATGCCACCTGACAGCAAAGTAAGGGATATTCGGTTGTGGAGGCTGATTAGAGCAGCGGTTCTCAATCTGTGGGTCACAACCCCTTCGGGGGTCAAAAACCCTTTCACAGGGGTTGCCTAAGACCACCGGAAAACACATAAATATTTCACAACATGTAATTACATATTGTTTTTGTGATTAATCACTATGCTTTAATTATGTTCAATTTGTAACAGCGAAAGATACATCCTGCATAGCAGATATCTACATGAAGATTCATTATAGTAGCAAAATGACAGTTTTGAAGGAGCCAGGAAAATAAGTTTATAGTTGGGGGGGTCCCCACAACCTGAGGAATGGATGAAAGGGTCGCAGCATTAGGAAGGGGGAGAAGCACTGGATTAGAGCATATGGTGGCTAGATAAAGAGAATTGTAAGGGTTGCTGTAAGGGAAAGTCAAGTTTGATATCAAGTATGACAGGTTGTGGGGGTGGAGATGGGGGCTTCCCAACAGTGCAGGGTGGGCGAAGAGTAAGTGAATTTCATAGTCTAGAGTTGGGCTTTGTTCAGACGTCAAGGAGGGTCCTAGAGGGTTTCAAACTAGGGGGTTCAGAATCGTGCTTTAGGCAGTTTTGATAGAACCTATATAGGATAGATTAACATTAAAGATATTGAAAAAATAATCTATAACTCATCAAGAGTTCATGAGGGAGGGCAGAAGGGGAAGGAGGGGGAAGAAATGGGGAGCTGATATCAGGGGCTCAAGTGGGAAGAGAATGCTTTGAAAATGATGATGGCAGCATATGTGCAAATGTGCTTGACACACTGGATGAATGTATGGATTGTGGTAAGAGATGTAATAGTCCTCAATAAAAGTATTAAAAAGAAGAAGAAATCAATCCATGTGATATTTTAGTAATTCAGGAAAACAAAAACACAGTTCAAAATCTAGAATTCTACTATAGTTGACAAACAAGAAAAATAAATCAGACCCAAATATAGAAAATAAATTAAATGAGGGGAAATGTATAGTTTTATTAGCATATAAAGAGTACAGGTTATACTTTTAGGGCGTGATTTTACATCTACATAGCCAGTTATATTTTTTCATATGGGAAAATATTGCTTGTGAAGTTTTTAGAGATCTGGACACAATTATATATCAGAGTCATTTAAGCTGCTAACAGAAATTTGGCAAAATACACCAAGATCCTTCCAAGTAAGTGCTAATATTTCTCATGTTTTACGGGGCAAAAACAGGCTCACAGAAGTAACTTGCCCAATAACTGGTAAGAGAAGAGTCTGTGGAGCACGGAAACTGGTTTGCAAGAACTAAATATTAAACTTTCAGAAATTGTGAGTGTTATTAAGAAGAGCTAAACTACCTAGACCTGTAATTAAATTCATTACATTCAAAGCAGAGGTCATAAATGCTAAAAATCATAACTGTCTCATGATGTTACTACATTTCACGATTACCTAGGTTCTGAAGGTTACTTAATACTTACACCTCTTTGTGTACGTGGAGGAGCCCTGGTGGTGTAGTGGTTACGCACTGGGCTGCTAACTGCAAAGTCAGCGGTTCAAAACCACCAGCCACTGTAGGAGAAAGACAGGGCTTCCTACTACCACAAAGATGTACAGTCCTGGAAACTCACCGGCAGTTCTACCCTGTTCTATAGGGTTGCTGTGAGCCACATGGCTCAATGGCAGTGAGAGAAAGAGCAAGTACGTGGGAAACATCCTGTACAATGCTAGTAGTGCTGGGTTCCTCTTCCCAAGTCCTCGTGCAATGACCTCCAGTGTTAACGTGAAATTGGCCATTTTGGGAGTATTTACACTGTAACCAAAGGCTCCAAAACAGGACTTGACTGCTTTGTCTAGAACGCAGATTAGCAAACTATGCTCCAAAGGCCAACTATACCTCCTCCTCTATTTTAAAATAAAGTTTTATTGGAAACATAGCCAGGCCTTTTTGTTTAGTGTCACCTGGGACTGCTTTTCCACCAAATGACAGAGGTGAGTGGGTAAAAAGGGCCTATATGGCCTGCAAAGCTTGATAAGTTTGTTATATTTACAGGTAAAATTTGTTTCCTCCTGGTCTTACTCATTAAGTTCAGCAAAAATATCAACCAACATTTATGGCAAAACTTCACTTGGAGGGTCAATTCTTTCAACATCTGCTAGAACATCACTGGGTAGAATTGAGATATGGGTTCAATCAGTCTGACTCTATAAGTCACAGCATCAAGCTCTAGGGTGCTATGCAAATATAAACTATTATGTAATCATGAACATTTTACAGTATTCTTTACTGTCAGTTCATAGACACATGATATATAAAAAGCTAAAGAGGAAAACCAAAACTATAATATAGTTTATATTTTAATCACATGCTAATATGTTGCATGTCATTGAATAAAGTCTGACTATATGACATGATTAGGGTAGAATTGCCCCATATGGTTTCCTAAGCTGTAATCTTTATGGGAAAATTTGCCAGATCTTTTATCCTGTGGAGCAGCTGGTGGGTTTGAACTGCTGATCTTCTTACCCACAGTCGAGCTCTTATCCATTGCACCAGGGCTTCTTGTCTGTGTGTGTGTGTGTGTGTGTGTATACATACATTTAAAAAATAAGCCAAATTCACTGCCAGCGAGTTGTGGCTGACTCATGGTAACAGTATAGGACAGGGTAGAACTGCCTGTATGAGTTTCCGACACTGTAAATCTTTATGGGAGTAAAAAGCTCCATTTTTCTCCTGAGGAGCGGCTAGTGGTTTTGAACTGCTGGCCTTGCAGTTAGCAGCTCAACGAGTAATCACTATGCCACTAGGACTCCTCATATTCATATACACATACGTGTGTATCTGTATGTATACACCCCTGTATACTGTATAAATGGATTTCAAAAAATTCATGTAAAATTTCATTATCTTTGAATTCCATGAGCTTTATTTTTAATCATTTTATTGGGGGCGCGTATAATTCTTATCACAAATTTGTACATTTGTTGCCCTCATCTTTCTCAAAACGTTTTCTTTCTACTTGAGCCCTTGATATCAGCTCCTCATTTTCCCCCTCCCTCCCCATTGCCCCCTCCCTCATGAACCCTTGATAATTTATAAACTATTATTTTGTCATATCTTGCACTGTCTGATGTCTCCTTTCACCCACGTTTCTGTTGTCCATCTCCCAGGGAGGAGATTATATGTAGAGCCTTGTAATCGGTTCCCTCTTTCCAACCCACCTTCCCTCTACCCTCCCAGTATCGCCACTCACACCACTGGTCCCGAAGGGATCATCCGCCCTGGATTCCCTGTGTTTCCAGTTCCTATCTGTACCAGTGTGCATCCTCTGGTCTAGCCAGATTTGTAAGGTAGAATTGGGTTCATGATAGTGGTAGGGAGGAAGCATTAAAGAATTAGAGGAAAGTTGTATGTTTCATCCTTGCTACACTGCATCCTGACTGGCTCGTCTCCTCTCAGACACCCTTCAGTAAGGGGGTGTCCAGTTGCCTGGTTTTGGGTCTCCACTCTGCACTCACCCTCATTTACAATGAGATGATTTTTTTGTTCTTTGATCCATGAGCTTTTTAAAGCCCCATCATATACATTGCTGCTCCCATAAAGATTTACAGCCTTGGAAACCCATAGGAGCAGCTCTCTTCTGCCTATAGGATCGCTATGAGTGGGAATTCACCCATAGCAGTAAGTTTGAGAGCATATTTTAACTCATACACTATATATATCTAACTCTCACTCAAAAAACTCACTGCCATCGAGTCAATGCTGATTCATAGTGACCCTGTGGAGATGCTGGTGGTTTCAAACTGGTGACCATGTGGCTTGCAGCCCAATGCATAACACTACACCACTAGGACTTACATATAACATGTATCAATGTGCCATGTAATGCAATACACATTTATCTTTAGAATAATGTAAATTTATACTTGGAAATAAATTATAGAGAGGAAAATATTATTGGGCAGCGAGTATGTTAATGGGGTGGAATAATTTGGGAAAGTAGGGTGAGGAAGATTGCACAGCTTGGAAGAATGTCATAAACGTCATTGGAGTGGACACGGAGAAATCGTTTTCTTGCTGTATGTTCTGTTGTGTCTATTTTCAAATTCAATAATCAAATACATTTCTTTAAAAATCAGAATGAAACATTTAGGCTCATGCTCTGCATTAAAGAAGCCCTGATGGCACTCTGGATCAGGCCACAGGAGAGAGAGGACATTGTTCCCATAAAGGTCTAAAATCTCTTGGATTTTCTTCTTCTTCCTCTTCCTCTTCTTCGCCTCCGCCTCCACCTCCACCTCCGCCTCTTCTTCGTTCTTCTCTCCACCCTGGCTGCTTGAGTGTCTGCCGCCATCATTAACGATATAGCAACTATCTGGACCGGGAAGCTCGCGATCCACAAACTACTTCCTAGAGGACAAATGGTCAGCCCCAGTGCCTGAGACAGCACAACGTGGAGAACCACCCCAAATGTACGAGACCACACCAGCTGTCATTTTGGCATTTGGATTTAGAACCTGTTGTGGTGGTGGCAAGATGACAGGCTTCAGCTTGGTTAATAATTCTTTGGATTTTGCAAAGAAAAATGAGCCTAAACACAGACTTGCAAGACGCGGCCTGTCTGAGAAGCACAAGACCAAGAAAACCGCGCCGGGAACGCAAGAACAGGATAAAGCCAGTCAGAGGCCTGCAAAGGCCAACGGTGGTGCTGGCAAAGGGTGAGCTGGAGATGGGATAACAGAGAATGATGATGCTACAATGGTTTGATCTGTGATGATCATGCGTACTTTTTTTTAAATCGTTTTATTAGGGGCTCATATGACTTTTATCACAATCCATCCATACATCAATTGTCAGGTGCACTTTTTACCAGAGAATCAACAATAAAATCTTTTTTTAAAAATCGCCTGGGATTGATTGGTGGCAGTGGGTTTGGTTCGATTTGATTTGGTCGCTCTCTAAATTCACAGAGCTCATTCTTAAAAACAAAGAGAAGAAAGCAAATAAAAACAATCTTTTGGGGGGGAGCGGGGAGGGAGGGTAAAAATGAGGACCTAATGTCGGGGGTTTAAGTGGAGAGAAAATGTTTTGAGAATGATGTACAAATGCGCTTTACACAATTGATGTGTGTATCGATTGCGATAACAGTTGTATGAACCCCTAATAAAATGTTTAAAAAAGAAAAAAAACAAAAAAACAATCTTTTGTTTGGGAATTGCTCAGCCACACATCCCTTCAGAAACTACCCAGGATTCCTTTCTCATCCTGTCCACATGTGACTTCTGCAAGCTTTTATAAAAGCAGACACCCTTTCACACTATGGAAAAAGGCTTCCAGTTGAACTATTTTATCCAAACCACTTGCTACAACATAACTTCATGACTGAAGATTTTTATTAATTTTATTTTTATTATTCCTCGCTCTTGACCACTGAAACACATAGCGTTATGGAGTATGTCTTCAACAGTTGAGGTTTGTTTTTTATTTCCAAGACATTCTTTTTTTTTAAAAGAACTGTGGTTCGTTTGATGCTGCGGTTAGGTGTTGGTTGTTAACTTTGAGGTCAGTGGTTCAAATTCACTCACCGCTCCCCTGGGAGGTCTACCATGGCGAAGGATGACGACTTCTTGCTTCTGTAAAGATTTTCAACCTCAGAAACCTCATGTAGCCACTGTGAGTTCAAATTGACTCATTGGCAGTGGGTTTGGATATTTGGAGTCTGATTATATATATATATATATATTTTTTATTATCTCTCATAGTAATTTCTTCTCTCTTTTTCACTCATCTCCCTAGCTCCAAATCCTAGGATTCTGAAGTAGATTTTTAAAGCATGATACCCAGTCCCCACTCTCTGCCCCACAAAACCCTACCACATTTCCTGTCATCCAGTTGCTTCCGACTCAGCATGACCCTCAAGGACAAGTAGAATTGCTCCTCTGGGTTTTCCAGGCTGGACATCTTTCTAGGAATAGAAAGCCTCCGCTTTCTCCTATTTAAATAATTTAGGCAAATTAATGTCCAAACCTGAAGAGAGACATTAAAACTAGAATCTATCTACTGTGAGAGGCAAATATATAATTTACATAATGTCCCCGGTGCAATAGTAAACCCAAACTCACTGCCATCAAGTCAGTTCTGACTTACGGTGCCCCTCCAGGACAGAGTGGAACCGCTCCTGTGGACTTCTGTGACCGAAACTCATCTTTCTTCCCAGGAGTGGCTGCTGGCTTCGAACTGCTAACCTCGAAGTGAGTAGCACCACATGCATCCCACTACGCCACCGGGGCTTCCATTTCTGTGCAATAGTAGTGCTCACTAAATAGTACTCATTCTTCTTATTATGATTGTTACTTTTGTTGTCAGTCTAAGACTGATAGCCTTTGAAGGGATAAACTGCCACCTTTGACATAAACTGCCACTGTTTATATTAAAGGTTTATGCAATCACTGATTACATAAAATTAAATATATACAAATCGTAACATCACGTAACCTCTACAGTACTATTAGAAGCTCCCTGAATATAGGGCAGGCTTGACATCCGCCGGGTCCATTGACCACATTTAGCTAGCCCTGGGCCTTCAGGACCTAAAGGGGCTGTAGTCTAAACACTCGTACCTCTGGTGAGTGGACAGACTCAATTCATCCCCCTGGCTGTGTCCTGGCTCCCCAGCCCTCTTGTTTCCCTCGAGTTCTTCTTCCTGTAAGCAAGGTAGAGCTGAGCTCAGTGGGCCAACAATGACAAGGCGACAGGGAGGGAGCACAGCCAGTCAGCCTGCCTGAGGCCCTGAGGCAGCGCATGAAGCTGTACAGTAACTACCATGGTGAGTTCCTACCGTGAGTTCCAGCCCCCGGGTCTCTGTGCTGGTGTTCATTGTAGACAGGATAGCGGACTCCCTTCCACTTATTTTCTCCATCCACTGTTCATGTCAACTGAAAAAAAAAACAACACAGGGCCAAAGGCTTGTGAAAGACTGGTCATTCTGCACTGTGACGCTCATGAGAATTCTAAGGCCAGTTACTCACAGGAAACAAACAAACCCCAAACTCTGAGGGGTTTGGTTGATTTCTTTAAGAGCCAAACAAAAACCAAACCAAACTCTGGTGACTCTAGAGGGACAGGGTAGAATTGCCCTTGTGAGTTTCCAAGACTATAACTCTTAATGGGAGTAGAAAACTTCCTGAGGAGCAGCTGGTGGTTTAGAACTGCTGACCTTGTAGCTAGCAGCCTAATGCTGAACCACGATGCCACCAGGGCCCCTGTAAGAACAGAGACTTTATGAGGGCAACAAATGTATAGATGTGCTTTACACAATTGATCTATGTATTGTGATGAATTGTATGAGCCCCAATAAATTGATAAAAAAAAAAAAGAACAGAGACTTTTACTGAAATCAACAGTAATATAGAATTCTAGTTCCTATTGTGAATACCTAAGAAAGATGTTTACTTGTATTTTATTGACGGCGTAAAGGCATTCATAACCAACTATGGACAGCATTGCGAAGAATGGGAATTCCAGAACACTTCATTGTGCTCATGTGGAATCGAGACACAGACCATGAGGCGTCTGAAGAGACAAAGGAATGAAATCAGGAAAGGTATGTGTCAGGGTAGCATCCATTCACCATACTTACTTAGCCTGTGCCAATAATCTGAGAAGCGGGATTATGTGAAGAAGAACGCGCATCAGGACAGGAGGAAGGCTTATTAACAACTTGAGCTATGCGCATGACAGTCTTGTTTGCTGAAAGTGAAGAAGATTGAAGCACATGCTGATGAACATCAAGGGTGGAAGCCTTCAGTATAGATCGCAACTCATTGGATTGTGATAGGAGTTGTAGGAGCCCCCAATTAAATGATTTTTTTAAAAGAAGAAAGAAACATCATCAGATACGGAAAACCTAACCTCATGAATAGAAGCAAAACAAAGTGCCAGAAGATGAGCTTCTCAGGTGAGCAAGTACTCAAAATACGACTGAGGAAGAGCTACCTCCTCAAAGTGGAGTCCACCATAAAGATGCAAATGAAGTAAAGCCTTTCATGAGCAAAGCCTTCAGGACTTTAGCTGGTGAGATTTGCTACTCAAAATGAAAAGAAACCGTTGTAATGGTCAATTAACTACTGGAACTTAGAATGTGTGAAGTATGAATCTAGAAAAACTGGAAGTTGTCAAAAATGAAACAGAATACATAAAGATCGATATTCTAGATGTTAGTGAGCTGAAATGGGCTGATATTGGCCATTTTGAGTCAGAAAAGCATATGGTTCACTATTCTGGGAATGAATGATTGAAGAGAAATGGTATCACATTCATCTTCAAAAAGGATATTTCAGCCAGAACCAATCCAGGGACACACATGGCAGCCAACTAAAAAGAAGGGGGCCAAAAAAAAAAAAAAGACCTGGGTAGCAGGTGAACAGGGCACTAACTCCCACAAGGGGAGGGTGCTGTGAAGGTGTTTTTATATCTCCACAGGAGAGGAAGAGAGGGACCAGACCTCAACCCAGTGCACCAAGTCATGAAGGCAACATACCAGCATGAGGCATGAAGCAGGGAGCCAATAGAGGGTCTTTCGGGGCGGGCCTCAATCCCAACTAAATGGACACCCCCTTTCCCCCCCAGAAGAATGCACTACAGAGGACAACACTGAAGCTACAGCTCAGGGAGAGGGGTGCGTCTGATCAGAGCACACAGGAGCAAATGAAAAGGGAAGGAGTAATGGAACACAACCTGGGCTACCAAGCCCTGAGGACAATATTCCTGCTGAGAGCAGCTAATACACAGAGAGGACCATAGAGCTGGCTCCACTCCAAGACAAGACATCCCTCCTGACCCATATGGCTATGTGGGACAACACTAGAGGTATACAGTGCAGGAATTGTGCCTGATCTGGCCCCACCACACTGGGGTGAAACGCGAAGGGCATGCAACGGAGCAGCAATGGGAGCAAAGCAATGAAGTTCCTGGGGAATACCAAAATTAGACTTTGGGGCCAGGATGACTGGAAAACACTGTTAAAGGTCAACAAACAGACTTTGAACTATTTACAGGCTTTTCTTTCTTCTTTTTTTTTTT